AAGATACCTAGCACAACATTAATATCAAATCTTTAAACAGTAATATTAATTGCAAATGGTACTCTTGTTGTAGTGATTAAACATTGACAATAACTTATGTGAAATAACAAACTCATCTTTGGATTGATTTATTATTCACATGGAAACCTTATAATTGTCACACATTTATCACCACAAATGTCCTTCTAATATTCTAAGTTAATTAATTTCCACAAGAGATGTTGTTTTGGCAACATATTGCTTCAATCAATTCACTTTTGAATACTATATTCTCAAATAAGTTTTTGTACAAAAATTTGAAAAGCAAAACACCAAAATTTGCATATATTATTTATCTTGAAACTTTAGAGGCCTAAGGGTTAATAGTTCAGAACTTTAGGGACCAAAGATTAATTATCCAGAACTTTATGGGTCAATAATTAATTTTTGGAAACTTTAGGAGTCAAAAAATTAATTATCCAACTTAAAGGACCCAAAAATTAATTATTCAAAACTTTAGGGGTCAAAATTAATTAATATTAAACTTTATGGGTAAAAATTTAAACATTTTAGGGCCAATTAGAACAAAATCAAAAATTTTGAGGGATTTAATTGTAAAATTCAGAACTAAAATGGCCCAAATTAATTAATTTTAAAATTTCAGGGGCTGAATTATTTAAACTCATAACCTTAAGGCCTAACTTAAATAAATTTTAAACTTTATGGGCTGAAATATTAAATAACTCAACCATAACCCTAATATTAAATTGAAAGCAGGGGCCCCAAAACTTTAAATTTGAAGTCTAAGCCCCTGCCTCCAAAAATTCCAAAATTGAAAAAATAGGGTTCAAAAATCCCCTTCTTTTTACAGCGGCCGCCACCGGCGCCAAGGCCCAAAAAAAAAAAAATTTATATATATATTAACAAATCTGAAAATACCTTAAATTTCGAAAAAACGACTGAATCATTTCATATGCCAAATTCCAAATAATAATAGGAAGGAAGATCGAAATAACCAAAAATTCAAAAAAAAAATTAAAACCTCAATTTCTCAAAGATTCAACAATGGAGTGACTCTGATACCACTTGTTAGAGATTTGTAAAATGAATTATCGATCCAAGTGCTTTATCATACCCTAATTTATCAAACCCTTTAACACATAAATCATCCATATTGAAATCAATGTGAACAACAAAATAAAAGTAGAAGCATACCTTGATCCATAAATGTTTGATAGATTGCTTGAATGGGCTATGATCTTCCAAAGTGATTCGTAGCCTTCTCTTGATTTTTCTCTCTGTTGATGGGGATGCAAAGAAAAATGAAAACCACGTTCACCATTGGGGACCACGACCCCAACATAAATAATAATAACTGAATATACAGTTATTATCTTTCAATTGTTTCAAATTGGCCCATCATCAATTTAAAACAAACATTCCAGTCTCTACACTATATTTCCATGAAATCTAATACCCGTTAGTCAAAAATCAGTTTTAATGGATCACTTAATTGACTATTCTTTAACAATAGCACCACACATTTTAATATATTACTTGTGTCGCCCATATGTTGCAATTTTCCGACAAATCCTTGCCATTTGCATCCCTTTTAGCCTTGTGATCATCATCAAGAACATATTCGTGAAATTTGTCGAATTTTTTGTACAAATCCTTCATTTGCTTAACATATCCGTGCAAGTCCAAGAAACTTAACCAAGGTATCCAGTCTCCAATATTGATCACACCATTAAGCAAAAACCATTAGTCTAACAACCCTTGAAGTTCATCTAGGGTTATAATGGAACCCTGATCATCACATTTTGATTCACTGAAGTATTTGTTGCTTAATACCATCCGGGTTATAATCGAGAGACTATAACGAGATAATTGTTCTCTGAGCAAAATCAGCTTTCCTATGAGAGCATAAATAATAATAAATTAACTATTGTTCTCAATATATTACGATTCATGTGATAAGATTTGAGTCAACCTGCAACAATATTTACTTGAGAGAGCATAGAGACGAGAAAGAAAATAACGCATTTCCTCCACACGAATATGTTCGTAGGAGTCGAGTCGTTTTGAATTGAATATCTCTGTAAGATAAATTTTTCGAGCTTGTCGAAAATATGATCCATACGGCGCCCAAGTCATGTTCGAGTAATTATAACTGGTGTATTTACCAGCAGCAAGTGCAGGTCGAGAGGCAAAGACGGTGTCATGTACTTTAAGGAACTGTTCGGCCATTTCAGGTGATGAAGCAACCAAAACTGGATATGAACCAAATTTAAGTTGCATTAATTCTCCATACTTTTGGGATAATAAATAGAGAGATTGATGTGGGATTGAACCAATAAGTAGGTTTAGGTTGCCAAGGCCACGGTTTAGGGCCAGGTGGAATTTGTTTCTGTTTAGGGAGGCAATTGTGGATTATTTTTGAAATAATTATGGCCAAAAAAGCTAGCCATATAAAAGGCTGAAACCAACCAAGAAGCCTCCATTTTTTGTTGTTGTGGACTATATACAGATTGTGGTGGCAGACGAGGCATTTATAGTTGAAGCTAATTTGCAAAGGTTGACATTTCCACAAGAAAAGAAATTATCCCAGAAATTGCAACTGATATTCAAGCTCTATCGTATCGGGAAAAAGTGGACTCGTACAAGACAAGATGATACTAGAGCCTCGCATGTGTTAATGAAATTACACATCGAATAAATATCAAACAAATAAACATATATGGGTTTGGGTAACCTAAAAAGCACGAATTAAGATACGTAACTAAGATATGATAAAAGTACATCCATACAATTTTTTTTAAATATTAGGACTAGTGGATAAGTGTGTGTATTATATTTTCTTAAATTAAGTAATAAAATTCAGTATAATTTCAGTATTATTTTAAAAAATTAAAACAGAAGTCTAAGAATAAAAATATTTTTTAATTACATTTATTTAAAGATAGTTTATAATTTATTCACCCAATGCTATATATAACAAAAGTTTTTATACCATTATCTATTTTCAATAATGAAATTATAGTTGTCAATATTAACACAATTTTCCGTATCAAAAGATTTAATACTATATGTTATTTCCAATAAAAAATTAAATTTATCAAAATTAACACGATTTTACATATTATTGTCTATTTCCAATAACAAAACATTAGTTGTGAATTAATTTAAAATTTTAATTGTCAATTATTAAATGCTATGTCTATTTTCAATAAGTGTAAATTGTGTACTTATATATTGTCTTAAAATATGATTACTTTCTTTGTAATGGTTACCTAAAAAAAAAGTCTTCTATTGCTAATAATAATGAGTTTAAAACTAATAAAGATCTTCTTCTTCACACGTGCTAATGTGTCTAATAAGTAAGGATATAAAAAGCATAAAATAAAAAAATAGGTATCATGAATGTATCAAAGCGTGCCCAAACTTACCATGGCTTGAATATTAATATCTATACGCAACACGTAATAAATTTGAGAAATGCTATTTATCCCCAGTGGGGATACATCCTCAGTCTATGTGACGTTAATGTGGTATTAAATGATAGGTGAAATTAAATAAGTCATTTAATTTCACCATCATTTAACCAATCGTTTACATCCATATAGATTGGAGATGAATCTCCATTGGGGATGAATAGCATTTTTTAATAAATTTATACATGTATCTGTGCTATTTAGTGGGGGTGGGTAACCCCTTTCAACAAGATTAATTATTTAAGATGGAACTATAAATCTTAATATAATATCAAATTCCATTATATTCAATTGTGCAATTCGATCTATCTTAAGCTCAAATGAGTATTCAAATTTTAATATTGATGTGTTCAAACGAACTATCATCTTGCAAAAACATGTTAAGAATAGAACTCCACATTGCATAAATATCGAATGAATAAATATATAATGGGTTACTCCTCTTAACAAAATTATCTTTTAAAGATAAAAACTTAAGTCTTGATAACGTACGTAGAGCATAGCTAAAAATCATGCTGTTATTTTTGTTAAAAAATATGTAAAAAGGAAATTAAAAATGCTATTGGAATTATATAAATAAAATAATAGCAAGAAACATTACAATAAACAGAGTAACAATAAAATTAAAGACAATGGTTGTTGAGGCAGTAGCGATATTGAAAGGAACCGAACCTTGTGTTGCACATAATTTCCTTAAAACCGAATCGCCCCCAACTGTGGTGCAAGAGAACTGATGGCATCTGTCTTTCAGAATATAACGGTTGAAAGTAAATGACTAACACATCATCACTACTTTAGGCGAACTAAGAATGTTCGCAATTCTATCACCAAGTTAGAACAAAGAACTAAACTCTTGAAACAAAGGGAAGAGAAAAACTTGGAGTGAAGAAAAAATTCTCAAATTTTTTGATGTGACGAAGGAGGAGGAGAACATCTCTTTATACAGTACTAGGATGATAGAGGTTTAACATTCTAAGTTAATTTTTTGTTTAACACAAACAATGTTACAATAGTTATGAATGAATTTGCAGCCACAAATTCATTATGGAATTGAATCAATTCAAATACAAATTGACTATAGAATTGACTAGACTTGAAACTTATGAATTGTTATTACAATTTCATTCCACTTGAATATATTGCTTTAAATATTAATTTAATATATTATTTTCCAACAATTTTGCCTTCACGTATTCTGTTATTTAGCCGACTCTATTCATTATTCAGTATTCTAATAATGTTGGCTTAGAAGTAGGGGTTTATACCCTTATCTTTTTACTGTGTGTCTCATCCTTACTTCAAGCACCGTTGAAAAAATTGTTCTACACCCTTGTTTGATGGCCAATATATAAAGATAAATTGAGAGAGGAAATAATGTTTTGAATAACAATTTTTTTAGAGAATATGTGACTAAAAATGGAAAAAAAAAAAAAAAAATTGGACAAACGTGCGAAATATTTTATTGTATTAATGTATAGTTGAAAATAAGTACAAGAAATAAAGAGTTTTGTCTTAATGAGAGTCAAACAATAAAATACACAACAATCTGTATTAGCTAGCTGTGTAAAATTATTCAAGAAATTGCAATTGATATTCAGGCTCAATCGTATATGAAAAAAGTGGACTCGCACAAGACGAGGAAACTGGAGTCTTGCATGTTAACGGTAATATTCTACATCAAATAAATATATAACCACATATTTCATAAGACTCACTTCTTTTCAACCACGTAATTCAACAACTTTTATCAAAATTTACTAAAAATATGATTTTAATCATCATCAAACATGAGCATAATTTGATTGTATTAGTGTATAATTTATTAGCAATTCTATATATATTAAAAATTTTAATACGATTACATATTTTCAACAATTATTAACCCAATTTCTCGTGTCAAAAGTTTTAATACAATTAAGGTCCGGTTGATTGCAATGGTGGAAAATGGGTGGAAAGAAAATGAATTTCAGGGAAAGAAATTGCATAGAAATTGTTTTCCAATGAATTGTTAATTAAGTGTGTTTGATTGGTATAAATTTTCACCCGAAAATTTTTTGAAATTTTGGATTTTTTGTTTACGTTTGGCTTTATTTTACATGAAAATTATCCATTAAAGTGAATATTTTTTTTACAATTGGTTATGAAATTCGTTGCCATTTCCAAAAGGTAAAAATAATAATAATAATAATTTGTTCGAAAACTATTTTTTAATCAAAGTTAAGTGTGCGTTGGACTTTATTTTACATGAAAATTGACCATTAAAATGTTTTTTTTTAATAAATGATAATGATATTTGTT